AGTTATGCTGATATGTGAAGTTTTTAATGAAACTACAATGTGTATCACCATGGCCTTCAAAGGGGCAAGGCTTTGACTAAAATATATAAAAATTGTACTTTTCCACCGGTAAGTAAAAAGATATTGGAAATACCTGTGGAAAAGTACCTAAAATTACGTAAAAATAGGAGGAGTGACAAGCCGTGGGTAACAAGGGAAGTCAAAGCTGTCCTAAATGGGAGGAAGGCTGCCTTCAGGAGAAAAGACAAGGAGGCCATGACAGCAGCACAGCAGGAGGTATAACACTGTACAAGGGAAGCCAAAGACAGCTACAAGACAAAGGTTAAACAGAAGCTGAGGGAAGGATAACCCCAGGCTCACACCGACTCCGGTCCTACCGTTGCGGTGCGGTGGGTGCACCGCTGCAGTGATTCAAAGTCATTAAAAAGACGTGAACCTCTCTCACCGGCTGCGGTTACCGAGACACTCCGGCGCTGCAGAAAATTCCGCAAGAAAGCTATCCTTGCAGCGTGCCGGAGCCCTCCGCAACAAGCTCTCGCAAATATCCTTATTTGGGCCGTGTTATCGCGTAAAGTTACGTGAACTCAAGTGAACTTCTGTTTTACGCGAGTTAAATCTCTGGACCTGTTGCCGGAGCCGCAGAGCTGCACCGCACCGTAGTCAAAAGGGCGGTGTGAGAGGGGGTGTGCGGGAGTTGCGGTCTCCGCCGGCTCGGTAACTGCACCGGAGCCAGTGTGAGCAAGGGGTTAGATCAGAGCAATCTGGAAAGGTTTGAGAACCATCACATGCCACGACACAAAGAACAGGGTCGTTGAAGGGACAAATTAAGAGGGCAAATGACCTGAACAAGTTCTTCAACAAGTGTGAAAAGTCTGTCAATGCATTCATCTTCCCTTCCCCCAACAATTTACCTCCCCCATCGTTATCTCCTCTTGCCCCCAGCACTCACCACATCCAGCTGCAGGAGGTTCTGAATCCCTACAATTGTTTGGGTTTTGGTTTTTTTGCCTGTCTGTCAAAGCAGACAAAAAGCAGAAAAAAAAGTAGTAACTAGGGCTGCAACAACGAATCGATAAAATCGATAAAAATCGACTTTTAAAAGCGTTGGCAACGAATTTCA